TGATACGAGGCCTTTTGGAATGCTAAGGGCTTTTCTCCACAAACTGCTGAGCTGAGCTGAGCTGAGCTGAGCTGAGCTGGACTTGAACTGTGATCAAGCTGGAGTGTACTCTGCATCGAGCACAGCACCGCAAACATCCATGCACACACATCACATCTCCCCCGTTCAATCGCTCCCAAGCTGGTTAGTCCACAGTCCACAGTCCGCAGTCCAGTCTGTTCCCTCCCTGCGCCTGCGCCCCCCCCACACACAACGATGAAAGCCGCGCGCAGACTCACAGATAACCGTCCGACATTGTGTCTTGACGTTTCACTTGCCGAAAATTTGATCGATGGAAGATTTCAGAGCGGGATCAAATGACTAGCTTGCAGGTGGCTGAATCAGCCGTACTTTGTTCAGCTCGAGATGCGAGCGCGAGCGCGAGCGCGAATGCGAGTTGAGCTGGCACCGTGTTTGGGTCTTACTTGTGAGGATTCGAGCAAGTCGCGACGTGAGTGGGGTGATGATGATGATGATGATGATGATGATGATGATGATGATGATGATGATGATGATAGTGGAACACTGGCGAGTGCGCGCTACATGCTCGCTGACGAAAGCTCACCACGGCGCGCATGCAATTTGAATTCTGAATCAAAATCAAAATGCGCGAACTGCCCGCGTGCAAATCTCGACGAAGTGCGGGCTCAAATGTCTCGTACGAGAAGATGGAACGCGCACGCGAGCGAGCGAGCGAACGAGCGTGCGAGCGCGGTTGTGACTTTCTGCTTCGGTGCAGCCATGGATCTTGATTTGGCATGGCTCTTCTTCAACAGCTTTCTTCGCACCCATTCATTCTGCTCCATCTCCCTTCATTCATGATTCACAGAGAGCTTATTGTTCTTCCCCTTTCGTACAGCTCCCTTTTGCATCTTTGTTACGCCTCACCCCCTCGCGTCGACTGTCTCATCGGCCCGCGTAAAATGTCTCAAAGGCTCCTTCGACCCTTGCTGCGCGGCAGCAGCAGCAGCAGCAGCAGCAGCATCGCGACCACCTCCTCATCAGCCTCTTCGCACGTTGCAAGATCCGCAACTCGCTGCACGATTCATACGAGCGCTATCAGAAGACAGAATGAGGGTCATCCAGCCGCTGTTGCTGCTACTGCGCCTCAAGTAGGCTCAACGGACCTAGCGATCGATCTGGATCCTTTTGTTCAGCAGCAAGTCTTTGCGGATTCGCTGGCATTGCAGAACAAAACGAACGGTGAGTTGAGAGCAGGGCATGGAAGTGGTTTGGCGCGGATATATCGAGGTAATGACGCTGATGCCTCGATCGTCATTGTCAGCAGCACTGGGACCATTGGAAGAGTCACGGCACGTGCACGTCATCATGTCTGCCCTGCACCCATCCACCAAGCCCTCGTCTCAGACCCTAGTGCCTCTGTCTACGCACGTCTTTGGCAGCACACCACGACGAGATTTGCTTCACTCTGCCGTAGTGTGGTACTTGGATGGACTGCGTCGAGGAGGAGGAAGCACAAAGACGCGAGCGGAAGTATCGGGTAGCGGAAGAAAATTGAGACCTCAAAAGGGGACTGGAAGAGCACGATTGGGTGATCGAGGAAGTCCGGTGCTTCGAGGAGGAGGCGTAGCTCACGGACCCAAACCTAGAGATTTTTCCAGCAAGCTGAACAGAAAAGTCAGGGAGATGGCGTTGAGGAGCGCATTGAGCTTGAGATGGAGAGCGGGAGATCTGTTCGTCGTTCCCAACTTGGCATGGGATGCTCCGCCGCGCATCACTGGAGAACTCAGGAGATTGCTAGGCAGCAAACAGTGGAGCGATGCGCTCTTCTTGACTGCGCCGCGCGAACCTCTCAGCTTGGGTTTGGCTAGAGCGCCCAATCAAAAACCAAGCGCGGTGGAGCCGCAGTACGACGTGGCAAAGATCGAAGCGCACCGAGAGATCACTCGACACTTTCAACTCGCCTCTTGCAATATTCCCAAGGTTTCGCTGATACGTCTACACGAATTGGGCGAGAAGAAGAGAGCAGGTGCAAAGAAAGGAACGAGGGAAGCTAAGGAACCGGGAGAATTGCACGCTTATGAGATTCTAAAGAGGAAGAGGTTGATATTGGACCTTGGAGCGCTGGAATGGATCGAAGAGTATTTGGGAGGAAGCATTTTTCATGCGAATGATTTGGAGGAGACGCAATTGATGCTGCGCGAGGAGGAGGAGGAGGATGTTCGGGCTGCGGCGATGGGGGCTGCTGCTACTGAGGAGCTGCTGCTACACTCGGAGTCGGATGTGGTAGAGGAAGGAGAGCAAGAGCAAAAGGAAGAGTTGGAAGAGGAAGCGGAGCGATTCTTGAACGAAGCGGGCGTAGATTCGTTGGGACATGATGCTAATGCTGAGCTGGACAAGAAGGAGACAAAGTAAAAGAGGGGTGTCTAGAATGTCTGTAGGAGAAGGTGGGATACGTACACATGCCCCCCTCCCAATCAGATGCGGCCCCTTGCGAACCACGATGCGTCTTTTGCGGCTCGACGCGAATCAATTGATCAGGAAGGCGCTCCGTCGTCATGCAATGCAATGAGTGCAGCGAGAAGATGCACGAGTTGCGACTTGACAGTATCTTGACAGTATCATGCTTAACTTTGTGAAGAGCTAGAATGTCGTGTGTACAATTGCTGGCATGAAGAGCGTCCAACGCGCGCGCGCGCACGCACGCAATTGTGAATCACGAATGGAGAAAGAAGCGCTTCGTTGACTTGAGCCATCGCCCCGCGACCCGCGACTGCGACCCGAGAATCGCAAAATGGCGCAGCACATCACATGTTTTGAGAGCAGGCAAAGTGTCGACTGACTTGCAAATGGGGACTGGTCATGTGCATGGCAGCGAGGTTGCATGCTGGTGCTTGCTTGCGGTCAAGCGTAGCGAGCTCAAGGGTTCCTTGTGACGGCACTGGGAGGTACTGAGATAGCGGGCATTGCATGGGTAGACTTGCAGCACGCATAGCTGGGGTCTTGACAAACCTTGGCATCGGGCTCCTGAGCCCCCCGCACGTCGATCGCTACTCTCATTTGAGGCGACACTGTAGAGACGGGGCGCTCGCTCGTTGAGTGTATGTATGCGTGACACAGTCAGACTAAAATAACCGGTGCAGCAACAGCAACAATCTTCAGACTGCAGATATGAGAGCAGCATAGTTCGAAGGTTCAAGGCGATGTACAACGGCCGTGCAGTTAGCAAAGAGGGCTACGCACGGGGCTGAAGATTGCAATCGGGTCTCAGAGACGGTGAATCATGGCACACGAAGGAGAAACGTGGCTTTGTACGTAGCTGCATTTGTACGAGACTTTCAAGAGCCAAAATCCTTTGAGGATCAAGGACACTGAGAGGCGAGGTAGACAGGCGTATGCCGGACAATGGGCACGCCGGTTCCGATGTGTCGGGCGCACCGTGATGAAAGATACTCGATCGCTTACATGATCTTGGCCTTGCCGGTTCTGATGACATGCGCGGGCCATGATCAAGGACCCTTGATCGCTTCTGAATTCTGCTAATCGAATCGTCGACGTGCGACACCCAGCGTTTTGTTCTCTGATGAGTATTGGATGGGCTGCCAGGCACGCGCTCAGCCGAATCACCGCCCTCTAACTTGCATTGCTGAGCCTGATGATCGCCATACGAAGCCGATCGAGTGTACTCAGTTCCCCATCCAGGCAGAGGGCACTCTGTGCTGGTTCCAGGTGCTGAGAGCTCCGACTCGCTATCGCTGTCAGAGATAATGCGGCGATTGCGATCGATCTCGCAGTCACGTACAGTCAAAGCTTGCTTGAGCTTGGCCTTTAGCTTCTCGATTGTCTGCCTTGATTCCGCCTCCCTGGCTTCATGCTCTTGTAGTAGTCTATGACAGACATATTCTTCTCTATCGCACAGCTCCTGGTACTGACGTTCGTAATTCATTTGCCTTGCTTGCGTCTCTGCCTCGCTGGCTTCGAACTTCCTCCTCCATTTGCGCTCATACGCCTTCTCGATGCGAATCTCGGCCCGCTTGAGCTTGCGTTGGTAACTCGTTTTCTCTTGCTTACTAACATCCTCTTTGACTCTTCGCGCGATTGCGAGGCGTTCGGTGTGGAGCTGCTCTTCTTCTTCATCCAAGCGCTGACGTTGCGCTGACGAAAGTCCGGTGCCTGGTATACCTTGCGGCTTTTGCTCCAAAATCCTCATCAGAGCTTGCGCCTCGCTGACTCGCGAAGCCGCGCTCGATAGAGCTTCGCCGATAGCAGACCATTCCGGAACGTGTGCGGTGACTGAGGTCGGAACTGACTCTTCTGTGCGCGAAGTGCCTTGGCTGGTAGTATCCGCTGGTTGATTCTGATGAGCAGAAGCTGTCGGTTGCAAGCCTTGTGGCTCACCATCCGTAGCGGCATCGACACACGTAAGTTGGAGGCTCTCCAATCGACTTTGTTGTGCTCGCTTCAAGCGCAGGTCGTTGAGGTCCTTGAACCACGGCACAAGTGCCTCCAACTCCAAGAGCTTCCAGAAGTCCCGCTTTGGATCTCCGGGATAGTCGCCGTGGTCGTTTCCGTGGTTTTTGATCTCGCCGAGCTGGGCGTGGGTAAGGTCAAATGCGCCTTTCATGTCTCTGTTTCTATAGTAGTCGGGTATTCGATGTCGAAGCATGTGTTGCACCTGATTGTAGACCATCTCACCGAACTCCTTTGGCTTGCGACCGGCGAATCGACGCGGAAATAGCCTCTCGATGATTGCTATGCTACGATCTTCGCGCTGCCTGATCGTCTTGGGATCCTCTTTCCGGTCTGGTCTCCGCTCCATGAATAGGGCTTGGTCGGAGCGACACCGAGAAAGATGGCGCGCGAGCTTTCCTAGCTCTTGATCCGTCCAACTTCCCTTTTCATTGAAGTTGATGTCGGTCCAATCGAGAGCCGGCCAGTTGGGATCGTCTGCATGCTGGGGCTGTGCAGTGTCCTGGGTCTGCGTAGAGGAGCTGAGCTGTGCTCCTAGGAAGACGGCGGGTGCGAGAGCTGAAGACATCGTGGCAAGGAGCTAGACTGTACGTGCGAGATTGGGAGCGATGTGTGAGAGACAGTGATAAGGGCTCACAGTCAGTGAACGGCAAGACGAGCCTTCGCCGGCAACTATGAAGCTAGCAGAACAATGATCAGACGTGAATAAGTCGTGGGTGTGTCATAATGGTTTGCAGTCAAAGTCTGAAGTTGAGGGCATATCTGGCATCTGATGTGCCCAGGGGACGCGTCGCGCACGAAGTCCGCCGAGCGTGAGCGGAAACGCGTCACCCAATCGCAAGCTCATCCATCGCGGCTGCCTGCTGACCTATGCTGCATGAAGCCACGCTCTCCCTAATTATTGAACGCAAAACTCCCAAACATCCCAAACATCCCAAACATCCCAAACATCCCAAACATAGGGATCATTGAACGCGCCTACGTCTTGACATGATCGATTGTGGATGCACACGAGCCTCCGCCATGTCAGATGCGACCTCAATAGTCACTGATCCGCCCTTGACTTGCGTTCGGCGGCGGTTGTGTTGACGAAGTTAAGATACGAGGTGGATGTGGTCGAGAGGCAAGTCGGTGGGCCACTGGTGGGCCACCAAAGTCACATCAAAGTCACACCACATCCCAACCAGACTCGCACCAGATTTCAGTGCGGCGCACCACAAGAGCCTCGCGCGCGCGCGCATGCGAGCTCTGCATGAACACGTGACAGTCCAGAACAGCATTGATGCTCTTGAGATTCGAAGAAGAGCATATGACTCAAGAGTCAAAATTCCAAGGTGGACGGGGAGCCATTCCCTGCTCAAACGTTGACGATCTGATGCATAGATTGGAATTCCGAAGCAAAGGCACAGCTTGCCGTGGTTAGAAACGCGCAAAGGACCCTATCAATGCTAGGATCGGTGTCTACAACGGTGCAAGCAGCGAATGAGGTGGCGGCTCTTCGCCCGAATTGGTGCAAAACCTGGCATAAGTCTTAGAGCTGTGGGCGACTCGTCATCATCTCTTTCGCTTCTTGTGCCTTCTGGAGGTGCCTCGAGGACTGCCAGCAACGCGAACTTCCTCCTCAGATTCCTTAGATTCAGTCGTCGACTCCTCCGATGCGTCCGTCGCTGAGCTGTCACTTGTCGTTGAACCGTCATCGTCGCTATCTCGCACGTCATAGACCGATGCCTCGCTTCCTTGACGCTTGACATCGACAGATCGATCCCTGCGAGAAGATCCTTTGCGCCTGCCAGTATGTGACTTCGAGCTCCTCGATGACTTTTCTGACTGGGCCTTGTTGCGCTGAAGACGATTTGCATCTTCGAGCTGAGCCTCGAGCTCTGCGAACTTGATCTTGAGGCGTTTGTATTTGCTGTGGTAGCGGTCAGCGCGTGCGGCTTCCTCCTCTCGGTCCTCGTGCCAGTAAGCCTTCTCCTTCTCGAAGTTTTCCTCCCACCTTGACCATTCCTTTTTCATTGCGCGCCGTTCGCGTCGAACTTTGAGATCGCACTGGTGTCTAAGCTCAGCTTCTTGCTTTGTGTGCTCAAGTCGCTCAGTCGCAAATTCGGACCGCAACTTCAATTCTTGACTTCGCCACTTTTCCTTCCACTGCTCGTCGCGCGCCGATTTGCACCGCTCGATGTCGCGAGCGCGTTCGGACTCCAGCTCTTTCAATACCTCTTCCCTCGCTTTTCGCCTTGCCGCCACTGACTGAACGGAATGTCGCTGTTCGATCTCCTGCGTGGTACGTTGGTTTGCAAGCTCAGACCACTCTCGCTCCAATCCGGAAATCAATGCTCCAGCCGCGCCGCCTGCAAATGCTTGTTCACACCAGAGAGGACGGTGATTGGCGAAGACCACTCCTTTGCTGCTTCGGTCATGGCCGTAGCGCCCACAGCAGGTCGACCTGACCCACTGGGTGCGTCGGGCGCAGCCCGGGCGCCCAGCGGCATTGCAGGCGCAACTCTGCCTGCCACGCTGACGGCACCCTGGGTACTATCGGCCTGGCTCCGAGCCGAGATGTGGGGAGTCGATTGAGTGCTGGCTTGAGGAGCATGTGGATTCCTGAGCGGGGCGGCGGAGAGCGCAGGCTGAGTGCCAGCAGTCGTCACACGCTGCAGACATGGAGCTGTGTGTGCAGTGGGGCAGTTGAGACGAGTGTCATTGGCTTGCCAGCTGGCTGAACAGAGTACGATTTGTGGAGCTCTCGATGACTATAGCGCAGGGAGTCTTGAGTCGCCGAACAAAGAGTCCAACACGACTCGTGAGTCGCGAGTCAAATAGCCGTGAGTCGCGAGTGTTGGTCTTTCGATTCACGATTCACGCGTCGCCGCGAGTCACTCAATCAGTGTACAAGAGGCACGCGACACGTGAAATGCGCAGCTCTCCACACATGAATCGCAGGCGCATCGCGATGAGCGATCGTCATGCCGCTGTAGCCAGTCACGAGTGGCGTGAAGGTGAATCGTGCATCATGCCACTCGTGACTAGATGATGAGGCGTGAAGCGGAGCCAGCAGCAGTGTAGTAGTAGTAGTGAGTGCATGCAGTCATATGGTGGTGAGTCTTGAGTGCATGCTGAGCCACGATCGCTCGATCGTGATCCGGTGTGGCTGCGCGTCGGCCTTCTGAGCGGCGCATCACAAATGACATGTCTGCGCTCGCAAAGCCGAGCACTCGGTCAGGTTTGGCATCATCCTGCGAAGAGCCTGGCAGATGCTGGCTGCTGGGACCTCGTATTGGCGTTGCGGGACTGCGTGTGAGATCTGTCTGCAGTCAAAAGACTAGCAATTTGAGTATATACCGAAGACAAAGAGTAGCCTTGCTTTTGATGGAGCTCGTGTCACAGGTGAGTGAGGGAGAGACATCGAGCAAGCTCAAGCAAATCATGCAATTTGTCAAATGGCGGGGCTGCGGCGTGTGCTTGGGCAGTCGCAAGTGAACGACTTGCTACTTGCGTCGAAGTCGAGGTGTGATCACGAGCTCGTCTTGGTGTGAATGGAGTCGTAATAATAGTGTCGCATGCTCAACGTCATGGGCATGAATCACACTCGTAAATATTCGTGATTGTGTATACTTACGATTCGTGTCTCATGCCCGAAGACTCACGACCGCTTGACTCACCACTCGATCGTGACTGACGAACTCGTGACTCAACTCTTGACTCGGAATCAGAAAACGTCACTCTTGCCCACGCGACTGATGCGTGTGTGACTTTCTCGGGTTCGGAATTAGGAGGTTGCGACGCGTGGCGCGTGCACATATAGGCGTGGCCTTGGGAGGCGAAGCCAGGCGTAGAACGAGTGTGACTGAAGCCGCACGCGCGGATGAGCGGCGCAGAGGCGCAGGATTTGGCGCAGCGCGCAGCTTTTAGCGCCTCGCGGCTGCGCCAAACCTGAATCGCGAGCTAGGTTTCTGATGCACGCAGCACGCAGCACACAGCTAGGAGCGCGTGTAGACTTGGACGACGCCCACGCAGTAAGTCACAGTGGCGCCTGCGAGAGCAACAGCCTCGGACCCCTCGTATCTCAACCTCGTCGACAGCGCCAAGTCGTGAGTGTGTAGGCGGACCTTGCGTAGTGAGGTGGCGACTTTATGATCGAAGGGCAGCGCAACCTTCAGAAGAGAATGCATTCAAAAGTTCGATCGATGCATGTAGGCCCGAGTGCAGAGGTACCTCATGGTCCTCCAGCCAAAGTTCTTACCAGCATAGTATCGCACAAGTCTCCAGCGCAGCTCTTCTGCAGCCGATCCACTGCAACGGTATCGAATGGATAGCGACGCATCGTCAACTACGCCATCCACCTTCGTCCCTCTCCACCATCATCCCAGATGTCCAACTAATCGAGGAGCCACTTGTACCGAGTGCCCTCTGTTCTCGTGTTCCTGCTCAAGCCCGCTGGTCGGTGCATCCACCCCTTTACCTCTCCCTTTTCACAACATCCATCCTTGCCTTCTCAAGTGATAGCGTGCTGGACACGTTCGAACACGCCTTTTAACACCTCTACTTTACTCCAATCCCTTTCCTTTTTCTTCGACAAACGCCCGATTTCATCTTCTGCAGTGACCCTCGCGAATCATCGACGAAGACAACATGGCGACCACTGCAATCGCCGACAAGAAAACGCAAACTAATTTGCCCAACACAGGCGCAAAGAAATTTCTAAAAGGGATGCGCAGCGCCAAGGAGCTGAGGAGACAGCAACAAATGATGGCAAGCAGTCGCAGTCAGTCGGCCGCCCGCGTTGAACAAGTCGAGGAGCTGCCTTGCACTGCGAGCCAAATGTACATTGCGTTCGAAGAGGGTATGGCGGCGGCAACAGGTGCTGGACTCCTCGATACCAAAAACGAAGTGCCGCCTCTTGACCCAATCTCGTACTCGTCCACGACAGCCGAGGGCGCCGAAGCCATCAGCAAAGCCATGTCGGCTCTCCACCGTCTTTCCTTCCAGTATAACCTCGAGCACGATGACGGTGCCGTTGCAGCTCAAGAACCGACCTTGAAGAGCAATGCTGGACCTAGAAATCTCAAGGACCTGGCTCGTCTGCGCAGCGCTGTCAATGCGCTCGACTCGGCCTGCATACATGCAAACCCTGGTGTGAAGGATGAGCTCAAGCCAAAAATGGTGAGGCGCAAGCCTGTCAGGTGGGATGACGCGTTGTCGCAAGCTGCACTAGCTAGCAGCTCACTTGTGATGCCAAGCTCTCCAGACACGCCAAGCCAAAGCGCAAAGCCCAGCAGTGCCACGTTTGAAGACTTGGCCAATTCGGATGCCTTTGAAGCTTTCGAGAGCTTTTCCTCCCTCACCGACTCGTTATGCTCTTCCACTCAGTCCGTCGACTCGCTGGTCACACCACCCGACTCTGTCGATCTTGCTCATCAGGGACTGCGCTCTCCTGCCAAGGCTCGAAGCGGGGCGGGCATCAGACCGCCACTTCGCGATTTCCACTCTTTACCGACGCTCACCCATGCTCACTGTAGAGTTCTGCAGGTGGATGCACCGCTCGAGCAAGACGGCTCTTCCTTAGACACGGATGAGGACAGGGTCCGCGCAGAGATGCTCAACGCCTTAATGTATTCCGAGTTGCCAAGAGATCATGAGCTGCGCCGAGACAGCATCATCATACCGCCTATCAAAAGCATGGTGTTCAAGAAGGGGACCAACGCGATCAGCAAAGATGTCGCCCAGGATGTCAAAGACGACAGGGATAAGCACACAAAACGACGGTCGACGTACGCTCGACTGACGAGACGCAAGGTGCTCAACAATGGTGCGCCTTCGCCTCGAATCCCGTCTCTTCTTCTGTCCCTCTCGGAACGTTCTTCGATGCTGGCAAAGGTGACGGAGAAGTCCGAAGGCTCGCCGAAAAGTGCGAGCTTGTCTGCATCGCCAATGGCTGCTAAGCTGCCCTTGATGCCCCCAGTACCACCAATGCCAGCACTGCCAACCTCGCCCAGCTCACCACCTCTCCCCAAGACGCCAAAGACTCCCCGCACACGCAAATTAGCGGCCGAGTCGGTCACGTGGCGTCCCAGCGACTCCAGTCGAGCATCGTCGATCCGAAGGAAGATGACCCAAGGCATGTCCGCAATCCCGCCACTGCCGCAGAAGTCTCTTTCCAGACCCACAACGATCGACATGGGTATTCCTCGTAAAGGGCTCGGCCCTGCAAGCATCGATGTAGACACGCTTGAAAGGCTCATCAAAGATACGGAAGCGATCAGAGAAGAGGGAGACAAGGAATGGAGAACGCAAAACGTCGCTGGTGGTGAGGTCGTTCAGGGCGAAAGACCTGGTCACGTCAGGTCGTCGAGCGAACCTGCTATACTTCACGAAATTCGTGCCGCAGAGGAGGTCGAGGCGAGCTCAGTCAACATCAAGACTCTATCCGTCCAATCAGAGGTGCTTGCTGGTTCAAGGACTGCAGCGAAGTCTTCGGCTGGTTCAATCTCATCGGTCGGCACCGAAGTGCTCCTCGCCCCTCCTCGCAATTCGACCGAGGACCAAGCAACGCCTCGAGCCAACATGACTAGGAGCTTTTCAGAGTCGCAAGTCGAGCAGATCATCGAGGCACCTCCTCGTCGTCCAGCAGATCAAGCTAGAGCTTCAGCGCTTGAGACGCCAATGGAAGAACTGACCACTCCGACGCCGACCGTGGCCAAGAGTCGCATGCGCACCTTTCAGCGCTCGAGACGCGCAAGCCCTTATTCGCACTCGAGACAAGCCAGTACCAGCAGCAACGCGTCCGGCATCAGCTCGCATGCAAGCGAGAACGATGGTGCGGCGTCTAGCGTTGCTTCTTCGGAATCAGGATACGACTCGCTCTTCGAGTCTGACACGGATTACGCATCGGATGGCGAGCAGAGCGTTGGCACCTCTGTAGCTGAGGAAAGCAGTGACGATTCGGTTGCTTCCAAGGGATTCAAAGCACGAAGCAGCAAGGCGTTGTCGCAGTACAAGCCTGGATCCAGGCCTCCCAAAAGGACCATCACGCCTCCCTTGGGTCAACCGGCATACCAAATCGTTCAGCAGATCAGAGCCGAGATTCAGCCGTCTGCTCCGGCTCCAAGACCTGACGGGCTGACCAAGTTGCGTGCCTTCCACTCCGAAACTCAAGTGCACAGGCTTGGCGACCAAGCTAGGAACGCTGCAGTCGAGCAGCTCCAAGATGAGGTTGCGCAAGCTATGATCGATGCGTGCCAAACCTTTGCGAAGCAAGACTTGGATTCTGACGACGAAGGCAGCCTCTCGGAAACGGAAGCTCTTAGACTCGCAAAGGGCAAAGATGTGATCCTTTGGCACCTCAAGACGCACACGAGGGGAGATGACCATCTCTTCCCTAATCCGCATGCCGAGCAAGTCCGCCACGCGTCGCCCGACGAGTTCTTGTTTCCAAATCCGCATGCTGATGCTGCTCAGATAGCGCCTGCCGAGAAGCTGGACAGTGCTCCTCAAGCAGAGCGAGCAACGTTCGAGATCGCTCCCGCCACGCCCAAAGTGGTGGTCCAGCAGCAGCAGCAGCAGCAGCAGCAACGCAGACCAAAGAAGAGCCACATGAGGTCCAGGCACGCTCCGTTGGATGGGAGCGGTACAGACGGTGAGGTCTCGGATGCCGCCAGCTTCGTCGGTAGCTCGAGTGGCCGCGAGACGCCCCTGCTCGCTCCGCTCAGGTCCAACTCCATCAGCTCTGTCTCAAGCTCCATCCGATGAGAAGTGGTCTTGGGGCTCTTAGATCACGATGCGAATTGTCAGCCCTGGTCTCGCGGCCCCCTACACACTCTTTTGCATTTGTACATGCGCACTCCATTCTTCCGATCTCTTCGAAGAATATCAAAACGCTAGAAGCACAAGAGTGAATACATGACGGTGTTTTGTCCTTCCTTTTGCGCGACCTTTGTGACGTGTCTAGACTTGACGATGACCATGCATCGCCCAGGACCGTGGCAATGCTTGCACACGGCTTGTCTCTAACGTCAAAAGCGGCGTCCTCGAGGAAATTGGCCCTGGATTAGTAGGCGCGCCCAGCTGCACCAAAGCGCCGAGAGAGGAAGCGTGAAGGAGGTCTGGCTCATGACCTTCGACTATCGAGCACTTCTCGACGCATAGAGTCAGAGATGTAGAGATCCTCTGCCAGATCTTCCAAGGGCCAGTCTGCGCCCCCTAGAGAGTAGTTACGGATCTGCTCATCTGTGAAGTTGTGCGAGCTGCGCAGGTAGGCTTCATCTAGCAGGAATTGTGCGCTGGGTTGGATGAAGATGGGCGTGCATGGGGGTTCACAAAGGGCAAAGTCAGTCGAGGGCGCAGTTTCGAGGTGCAGAAGAGCGAAGCCAGCAAAGCGGTATCCATGAGCTCGCTCAACCTGTCCAGAGTGCGTTACTCACGTGAACTTTGATCCGTCTTGCTCTATGATCCTAGCAGCAGCATCCGCCACGATTTCCGGCGATCTCCACCTCTTCTCTTCCGTCTCTGCATTCGGGCTAACGATCTTCATGGCGCTCGTTCCGATCATCGTGTAAGGCCAAAGCGCATTCACACCGATTCTACCTTTGGTCTCTGCCGCGACAGCCAAGGAGACCAATGACATGCCCAGCTTGGACACAGTGTATGCTGAACCGGTCTGGGCAAATTGAGCGGGCCAAGATCCGCCCGATGGGGAGAGCAGGCCGGTATGCAAGGGAGGAGAGAGCGTGAGAATGTGCGGGTTTTTGCCTGCTTTTGAAGAGGCCTCCAGATAGGGCAGAGAGGAGCGAGTCACGAGAAATGTTCCACGAGAATTGATGGATGACATCAGGTCGAATGCCTTGACCGGAATCTGAGCTGTGGGTTGCATGTTGATCGCAGATGCCTGTAGAGAGGGCAGCAGTCGCGCTCAGATTTCAATACACAAGAGCTGCATCTTACCGTCCCTGGGCCCGTGTCCCCATATAGATACACAGCATGACCACTCACATTGTTCACCACGATATCAATGCCACCGAACTTCTGTGCGGCGCAATCGAAGGCCTCGCTGACCTTCTCCGCATCCCTCACATCCAACTGGATAGCCAAGCCCTTGACCCCATTGCCCGATTGAGATCCAATCTCATCGATCTCCTGGGATGCTGTGTGAATAGTGCCGGGCAGTTTGGGATGCGGTGTGGCTGACTTGGCAGCTACCACCACGTTTGCTCCTCGTGAAGCCAGAGCCCGACCTATGGAGAGTCCTATGCCCCGAGAAGCACCGGTGATGAAGGCCGTCTTACCCTTGAGCGTTTGAGCTAGCGACATGCTGAATCACGACAGAGTGTGCAGGTACGTCTTGTGGAAATTCGGAGTGCTCCCTATAGTCGACCTGACTGAGACGATGGCGTGCGCGAATCACGGATGTAGCCCAAGTGAGAGAAGAGAGAAGCACGACGAGGGGTGGGCGTCGTGAATCGTGACAGGTTGAAATGGTCAGGTGTAAGCCCACACCCACCCAACTGTGACGCGTGCACAACCTGCCATAGCTCGCTTCGGCTTACAAGATCGGGCAGGCACCGACCGCTTCGGTCATCGGTCAAGCAGATTGCCGGGAATCCCAGCAGCAGCTTAGTCGCGCGTTTCAACCCATACGCAGCTGCTGCACGCGCGTGTAACTCCATCTCGATGGTATTCAGAAGATTTCAAGAGACGATATTCAAATTCTTGATTCAAAGATTTGATTGACCCAAGACCGAACATCACGTGACTCGCCAAAAAGCGATAGGAGTCGTGAGTCTTGAGTCAAAGTGAGTTGCATGGGGTCAATTGTGATGCAAATTGCTCCTGAGTGTGCTCTTGCCTCGGCAGACTCGATCAATCATCTCTCTGCTCTGAGCTGCATCCTCCTCGTGTACCCATGAGCTATCGCTTTGCCTCCTTTTAGCGGGGTCGAGTCATTCGCACCGCACAAGCGCGCGAGAGAGCCCATGCATGACTCGATCAAGCCCGCTCGGCGCGGCCTTACGGAAGAATGTCCGACAGGCCTCGTCGAGCTGCTCCCAGGCTCCGCAAGCCCCAGTGTGAGGCTGGACGTGATTCTCTTTGAAGATGAGATGAGAGCAAAGCGCTTGGAGCCGTGAAGATTCACCACAAGCAGTCACAGTCACAATCAAAATCGCGATGTGTGCTGCCTCAGTCAGGCCGCCGGATGATGCGGCGAGAGCTCCGGCCGCTGCAGACAAAATACCTTCTGCTGCACGCATGCTCCGTCCGCCTATCATGCAGCGCGAATTAGCGGGCGCAAACGCAGCGCAGCACCTTACCAGTCACGAGTCACGATGAGTTGATTGGTGTTGTGAGTGTGAGTGCGAGTAGCGATTCCCATCCTGGATAGCGAATCAGCAAGCACACGGCGCGACGATGCGAGTTTGTGCACCTGACGTCCGCCAATGCGCAGCGGCGCAGCCATAGAGCTGCTGATCGAGTCGTGAGTGTTGTCACTCATCAGCTCCCAACGTCGCAGGAAGCCAAAATCAGGCCAAAAGTGTTTCACCCCTGCAAATCCCGCCTACCATCTCTTCTGGCTGGAGAAGATTAGCAAGCGCTTGGCGAGGAGGTAGTCGAGCGATTCCCATCGGAGGCACTCATACGAAGCATCATTGCGTCTCCCATTTCCTCTCGAGCCCGCCAAGCTTCTTTGTTGAACACACTTTCTCCGCACAAGAGCAGACCTGAAAGCCTCACACTAGACATCGAGAGCGCGAAACAGGTTACAGCAGCACCATGTCTTCTTTCAAATTTTTACCCTCGCAGTCCGGGTCGATGGCAGAGACCCAGCAGGCTTTCTGGGGCCAGCTGAGCTCCACCGCGAGCGCGCAGGCAAGAGATACAGTCACAGATGCCGTTTCAATGCACACCCTCGTGCTTGCACTTGTTGCGCTTGGCACGGCAGTAGCACTCACACATCTGCTGCTGTTAAGCAAACTCAGCACATCCCGTCTAGCGCTCGGAGAGAGAGAAGAGGAAAGCGAAGCTAATCTGTCGCAAGCGCAGCGAGAATTCCAGGAGCAAGAGGAGTTCAAAAGACTTAATGGAGAAGCTTTGGACGAAGAGGTCTTCTGGTCTGAAGCGAGGAGGGGCAAGTTGAGCCTCATCCTGACCTGTTGGATTGGACTCGTCGTGAACGCTGCGCTTTTGGGCTTCGAGGCGCTTCGTACGAGCCAGAGGAGTAGCGAGGAGGCTGCTTCGGCTCTGGCCGTGGCATCGATCACGACTGTCGCTTGGGTGCGGATTGCACGTGGGTTGCTTCGGCAAAGACGGTGCTTTTGCTGACGTCTTCTTGTCGTGTCTTGGTACAGATTGATCTGCTAGTGGTCACGCTACAAGCTCAACGTGCGGATTCACGTTTCGCTGCATTGGTCCACATCTTTTCGCTCTCGGGCTTGTTGGCTGTCGGTGACATACTGCTACTCACGGATCCCAGTCGCAACCTGCGACCGAATGCTGCGGGGCAGCTGGCCCCAGGCATCTGGACAGTGTATCTGTTCAGCAGTCTTGTAGTCTCTGCAGTAGCTTTCTTCATTGCCGGATCACTTCGGGTCGGCCCAAGTCTCGTGTATTCTCCAAAACCCGGCACGATACCCGCCAGGCCTGTGATATCGAGCGGGAATGGAGGAGCATCGATCTTCTCTAGACTCTACTTTAATCACGTCACAAGCATCTGCCTTCTTGCTTGGAAGAAAGGATCAATTGCACCAGAAGACCTGGCGGTCCTTGATGGGCCTTTCCGCGCTGAAGTGCTTTCGGAAGAGGTACTTCGGCTTTGGAACGAGGAGAAACAGAAGAGAAAGCAAACAAATGCCCCGGATGTCCAACACACCAGTACTCTCCACGGAGCTTGGCCTGTGTTCAAAGTGCTTCTGAAGGCCAACAAGAATCTGATCATAGTCAGTTGACAGCGCTTAGATGACCAGCTGTCCACAAATGTTGAAGTCTATAGCCGCCCTTGCGCCCAGCTACAAATTGTGCTGGCCTTCGTAGCAGGGGGTCTGTTCTACGGGCCAGCGTACCTGACGTCTCGCCTCTTGAAGTATGTGAGTGCACTGGCTTCACTTTCCCGCAACACGCCTTCTCAGCCTTGCTCAATGGGACGGCGATCGTGCGCGCGCTTAGCTGGAAACCTTGGAAGAAAACGAAACGCGCCCAACATCTGCAGAACGATTGTCTCAAGGTCTCGTGTATTGTCTAGGCCTGTTTGCCTCGATCATTGTCCTCTCCTGCGTCCTGGCACAGTGCTGGTGCGTCACACAGGGAAGATTGGTTGGTCGTTTGAGAGTCCAGATCACCGCACTCCTGTACACTGCAGCGTTGAAGAGGAGGGACGTTAGCGCAGCTTCTACTCCGAGCGCTTCCAAGTCTTCAGAGGCCAAGGAAGCTGACAAATCGGAAGGATCTACAGCGAATGCGGCAGCGAGCCCATCGACAGGAGCTTTCTCTTCGAAAGGACAAGTGCTCACTTTGGCTACCGTCGACTCGGCCAAAGTGGGACAGATGCCCTTCAACTTCCTCATGGTCATCGTATCGCCCGCCGAACTTCTGGTGGGAGGCTCATTCGCGATTCAGCTTCTAGGCTGGGCTGCAGTCGTCGGCTTTGGGGTTTCGTTGGCTGTGCAACCACTGCTGATGCTCGTTGGGAAGATCATGGTTCGCGCCACTACTGGTCTTCAAGCGGCCAAAGACGATCGCAACGGGCTGGTTAACGAAGCTATAAAAGCTATTCGTATGCTGAAACTCAATGCGTGGGAAGGCCTGCTGGCTGAGAGAGTCTTGTCCGTGCGACAGAAGGAGCTGTTGGAGCAGTGAGTTGAGCGTGGAAGGGTACACCGATCCGTGAATGCTTCGTCCCGTCGTTCATTCTAATTGCGATTTCTCGTATTCGGCGCCGCGAAGACGAAAGCTTTTTTTGGCTCAGGTTCTCAACTCTTTCATCTTCAACCTCATCCCAACGCTAATTACGGTCGTGGCCTATGGCTACTATACGCTGCTTCAGGGCAACGTTCTCACTCCCTCAGTAGGCTTCACCGCTTCTGCAGTGCTGGCAGAGCTTCGCTGGAGCTTCGTGTAAGTGCCACTCCATGACTTGTGATGCACATTGATGACTTCTGACTCGTGCTGTGGCCTCATGACGCATCATCAGCAACATTCCCACCGGGATCAATGGCCTGTTCCAGAGTCTCGTGTCGCTCAAGCGGATCGCGCAGTACCTGCTGAAGGACGAAGACGACTTGGTGCCGCTTCCACCTGGCGAACCAGGTCTCGTAGCTTTCCAGAATGCTTCGGTAGCTTGGCCTGGCGCGTCCACTTCTTCACCTGACACTGACCCGACCGAACATCAGGGCGCTGCGAGGGCAGGCTCAAACATCAGCAAAGCTTTCAAGCTTGAAAACATTACCGTCGAGTTCCAACGGAACGGCCTCAATTTGATATGTGGAAGAGTAGGCGCAGGTAGGTGCCAGATGATCTTTGTATACTGGCAGCGCTGGCTCTGACCACCTTCTTCAATCATGCCGACCACAACCACAGGTAAGACACTAGCGCTACTGAGTTTGCTCGGTGAATGCGACGTACAGTGTGGAAGAGTCATTTGTCCTTCTACCAAGAGCGATGCCATTCCTATCGACCACAGTAGCGGATCACCAATCGCCAGCAAAGAGTGGCTGTCGCAAGAACAAGCGGCTGTGAGTGCCTGAAGAGGCGTCGCCCTGGTGTGTCCTTTTTGTTAAAGACAGCATAAACTGAATCAACGGCTGCGGGCTTGCCATCCAGTACGTCCCTCAATCAAGCTTCCTGATCAACGCGACAATCAAAGACAACATTCTGTTCGGCTTACGGTACGTTGAACAGCGCTACGAGGATACTATTCGAGCTTGTGGTCTTCTCCCGGATCTTAAGGTGCTCCAGGATGGCGACCTGACCGAAGTCGGCGAGGAGGGAGTAGGGCTGTCGGGAGGCCAAAAGGTGTGTCCGCGCTGTGATGATGCCTCCTACACTTTGCAGCTGACTTGGAATCCCGGCTTGGTAGGCTCGAGTTTCTCTCGCTAGAGCAGTGTACTCGAGAGCCCAAGTCCTCTTGCTTGATGACTGCCTAAGCGCCGTGGATGCCGAGACTGCCGCGCACGTCTCTCGGGAACTCTTCCTCGCGCGAGGACAAGCATCCCAATTGGCCGACGCGCCTCTGCATCTGATGGCTGATCGCACCATAATATTGGTGTCGCACCAGGTCCGGCTTGTTGCTCCGATGGCGGATCAGGTTATGGTCCTCGAGCACGGTCGTATGAAGTTCGAAGGCTCTTCGGAGAAATTCCTGAGATCCGACTTGTATCACGGACTCATCGAGGAGTCCGAAGCTCATGAAGAGCGCAAAGAACACGCGCCAGAGGATGTGGCAGATGCATCATTGCCTTCAGGCAGTGCAGCTCCTTCTGAGGTCCCCACCCCTGCGCAGCAGTCTCCTGTTCTCAAGGGCGCGGACTTTGATGCCAAGAAGTCAAAAGAACCAGAGCAAGGGGATGCTCCGGTAACGAGCCCAGCCGCTGATGAATTGCGACGTGCACAACCTGCCAAGTCTGCCGGGATCAAAGAAGAAGCTAGAGCGGTCGGCGCTGTCAGGTGGTCCATCTATCGGCGATACCTGGACGCTGCAGGTGGCAATACCGTGGCCCTTGGCATTTTGGCCGTGTATGTTGTCGCGGGCTTCTACACAATCATCGTTGGAGTGAGTGGCCGGGCTGCGCTCGAGAAAGAGTTGAGGCTGACCTCGTGTCCACGAATGATGGCGACTAGAAATGGCTGCAATTTTGGACGCAAGACTCCATCCAGCCTATCCGTGCACACAGCGACCGCTGGTGGCTCTGGACCTGGACCGTCCTGTATGGAGTTCAAATGTTCTTGTGGACTCTGCGCGGAGTCCTGTATCTTGCGTCGCTGCGCGCTTCGAAGGTGCTATTCAAAGCTTTGTTGACGGCTGTTCTTGGTGCGCCTTTGAGGTTCCATGAGGTGAGTTGAGGCAAGTGCTGCCTCTTGAGTGCGCTGCGAACACGACTGCTGAGGCATCCGCGCTTCTGCGAATCTAGTCCACCCCTAAGGGCAGGATCTTGAATAGATTCGGAGAAGATGTCGCTACGATGGACAATGACCTTTCCATGGTCGTGACGCAGTCACTGGAGGCAGGTTTGGCCGTCGTCATAGCCTTCATCGGCTCTATCATCGGCGGCGGCGCTGCGCCCCTTCTCGTGCTGACTCTTGTTCTGTCACCGTGAGAGCGTTTCGAGAAGTGTTGCTGGGCCTGCATCCATCGCTGACCTGATTTCTCTCCATTTAAAGGCTGTTTGTGCTCACCGGAGTCGCCTACTCTACCGCGGCTCGCGACGTACGTCGACTTGCATCGACCTCTACTTCACCTCTAGTCACGACTTTTGCAGATCTCATCTCGGGAGCTGCAGTCATTCGCTCATTTGGCGCTTGCGCAAGCGGCTACGCTACGATGCTCATGCGCGCAGAGGAGCTGGTGCGCTTCAATGTGTGGGCGCCAGACCTCCAAAGATGGGTCGGACAGGTCTTCTCCATCCTGAGTGCCACGCTACTTCTTATTGGAGCGCTAGCCACCTTGATCAATCCTCGAGTCTCAGCAGCCCAAGCAGGGTTCGCGTTTTCTTTCCTCATCAACGTTCCGGAACGCCTGATTCATGTCGTCTTCCTCTACGCGACCCTCGAGCAGCGGTTGGTAGCTGTTGAGCGCGTCGTCGAGTGGGCCGATCTGCCGAAAGAAGCCCCTGCCGTCATCAACGACTTTCGGCCACCTTCAGACTGGCCCGCTCACGGTCAAGTGAGCGTGAGGAACCTCGGAGCACGGTACGCATTGGATCTCCCATTCGTGTTGAAAGGCCTGAGCTTCGACATTCCTGCAGGCACTAAGCTCGGGGTCGTTGGCAGCACTGGCTCCGGCAAATCCACTTTGGCATCATGCTTCTTCAGACTCATCGAGGCGTCCGAGGGATCGATTCTGATCGACGGTCTTGAGATCGGTCGGATGGGCCTTAAAGACCTGCGCAGTAAATTGAATATCGTTCCTCAAGATCCAGACATCTTGTCGGGGCCTCTTCGCAATACCATTGACCCCAATGGACAGTACGACGATGAAGCTTTGCTCGCCGCACTGCGCACTGTCCGCCTCGTTGGAGTTCCTCAAAGGCGCACCAGGAGCGCAAGTGTGGCCGGTGACAGCTCCGCGTTCGCGCTGGGCGATCAGATCGGCCACGACTTCAGTAATCTGGATAGCCCAATCAGCGAGAACGGTTCGAACTTGTCGTCAGGCCAGAGACAGCTGCTTTGCCTGGCTCGTGCAGTGCTGTGGAGATCAAAATTGATACTGTTTGATGAAGCTACATCATCGATAGATGAGGAGACCGACACTGCCCTGCAAGATAGCATCCGGACTGCCTTCAAGGACTCCACCACTATCACTATTGCGCATCGTCTGCGCACCGTGATCCGCCAAGATCTCTTGCTCGTACTGGACAAAGGCAAAGTCGACGAGCTCGACACACCTCATGCTTTGCTCCAGAATCGCGACAGCCGCTTTTACCGGTGAGTCTTCGCACAGCGATCCAGTAGCTCGATATAGCAGGGCTGAGTTTCACTTTCCTCTTTCCCTCCTCGCCCAGCCTTTGTCGTGCCGCGGGCCGCGCGGAGTTCAATTTGCTTCAACAAATGGCCGAGGAGGCGCATCTGGCACGAGAGAAGAACGCGGCAACGTGATGATGATTCATCGAAATTCTGGAAAATCATTCTTTGTGTGCACAGTTGACAGCAAGCATCGCATTTCATCGCTTCATCAACGGCAAGACAGCGCTCGATGCATCTTGTGCAGGGCACGCAAGCCTGAATCAATCTACTGTGCAAGGGATCCCTGCCGCCCGAAGAGCGGCTCGACCTTCCTCGGTCCAAAATTGTTCAGTTCTCAGCGCGTATTCGTGATGTAGCCTGAGATCTTTTGCTTCGTGTTCCTCTGCTTCAGTTTTCAATGCTCCTGATGACAACGACGAGTCGTCGCGATGTGTCTGATGCTGTGACTCGACGCTCTGGATCTTTGACACCAACTCATCGGTTGTGCCTGGTTGCTTCATGCCTCCAAAGGCGCCCAACGCGCCTGATCGTATCCAAGCCGACACGTTGCGCTGCCACCTGACATGCGCCAGGACACCAATGAGTTGGAGCAAGACATCGTCCAGGTCTTCGTCTGGACGCAATTCGGGATGAGGGTTGGATTCGCGATCGGAAGACGACGTGGTGCCTAATTCTGATGTCAACGGAGGTGTAATCAATCCTGCCAAAAGAGCGCGCTTTTGATCCGCACTCGGCTGCTCGTCATCTTCCACCGTAGAACGTGTCGCTGCTTCTGAGTCGACCGAATTAGAGGTTGCGCGTGACATGTCCAGAATATCCTCGTCCTCCACCGGCCCGATCATGGCGTCATCTCCGGTGCTCTTCCCGGACTGCTTGGCCATTCTCCACTTTCTCGCCTTCTTGGCCCTAACAGCATCGAATTCGGGGATGAGCAGATGGTTGAAAGGTTGCAAGCGGGCCTTGTCTGGTGAGTCGTCGAGCAACAGCGTGTTGTGGGATCCATATCCTCTCCCAGGGACCCATTCATCTTGTCCCGTCTGGACGTTGAGGCGGGGTTTCGGGACCTTGACGAAGGCGTGAGCTCCAAGTGCCGCTTCCAACGCAGCCTGAGGATCCTTCGCGTCGCGGCTATGACTCGACGACAAGCTTTGCGGAGTATTGTGCATCTCCTGCCCTTCGTGGTTTTCTTCGGTACCTGTATCGACGTCCTGACCATCCATTTCAAATCTTCTGTCTGCCTGCACCCTCCTTTCGCCTTCATGTTGGCGCCTGAGCTCCCCTTTCTTCCCCGCTCGATCCACGTTCAGCGCTGCCCAGACCACCTCCAAGTCTTTGGTGCTGGCAGCTTTCTTAGCTCTGAAGATTTTTGGCACCAAGGTATCCCTCGCCCAAACCCTCAGCAGTTCAGCTGCCTGTCCAGGTGTGAATATAGCGCGCGTCATCGCCACTACGTTTTGAGGTTGAGCTGAGGACCACAGGAATAGACGGACTCGAGCACGGCTTGATCCGACCGGCTCCTCAGAATGTGAGCGCCAGATAGAGTCGGTGAAGGGAGAATCCGAATCGTAGCCCTCTTGCGACAATGGCGACGCAGATCGTTTCCAGAAGCGGGTCCCCACAGGCCACTTTGAGGTGAGTGAGAAATCGTCCACAGCCTCTCCGAGACCCTCAGCCCCTTCCTCTTCTTGATCTCCGTCCCTCTGGGTGTCCCACTCTTCCCATAACCGAAGCCTTTCCTCTCGTGAAACATTTGTGACCGGAAGTCCCAACGCCCAAATGAGGAACACGTTGAGGTAAGGCCTCCTGGTCGGATTCGAGCTGCTGGCAAAGGAAGAACCACCTCTGAAGACTAGCGTGCCGTTCAAGTCCAAAAGCAGCAATGGAAGCGGCCGAGGTGGACGCAAAAGCGATGGAGGGTACGGCTGAGGCTCAGAGTTTGCTGATTCGAGATACGAGTCGCGTGGGCCTGGCCGAAGAGGTAAAGGCTTCAAAGGGGTGTAAGGAGACCGTCGAGATGGCGAGCTCGACCCCGGCGAATGGCCACGAGATGTCGTATAGTGTCTATAAGATGGAGGCGAGGATGAGGTGAGTGACATGTCCGAAGTTGCGTGACCCAGCAGATGAGCAGGCTTTGCGCTCGTTGGGCGTCTATCAAATTCGCGTTCGTGAGCGCCGAAGCTCTGACCAGCTTGCGCCGCAGTAAATCCGGCCTGGTATCCGGCCTGATAGCCCTGCCTGTACACTTGTGCGTGGTAAGACTCCGCCCAGCTTTGCTGATAATCGGGCTGACCGAGCGAGGCGGCGGGATACTGTACTGCTTGTCCGGTATGGACTGGCTGCGGCGATGCAAGAGACTGAGCCCACGGAGTCGCTTGTGGCCCCGTTTCGCCGTAGTTGCCGTGCTGCCACACACTATCCTGGCTAGGTTGCTGGGTACGGTACTCTTGTGGCTGATGCTGCTGCTGCTGAGTTGGGTGGTGATGTTGCGGCAAGCGCACTTGAGGCTGAGTATACTTTTGGTAGTCGTACCTTCGAGACGCGGCAGAGTTGCCATGTGCTTGCTGCTGACTCTGCCACGTCTGAGTCGACTCCGCTACTTGCACGCCTGTGGCTTGTCTACCCTGGTACGAATGCTCGGTGTAGTGCTGCTGCTCTTGTTGATCTCTGCTCTGTGTATACGCTGGGTAGGAAGAGGCATGCGCGCCAGCACCTCTGACTTGTGGCCACGCCGCCATTTGGCTGTACCTCCTACGCTCACGTAAATCGAAGAGGGAAGTTGCAGTGCTGATGAGGTCGATGCGCTTGTCCAAGTGTTTGCCAGCGTCGCCTACAGCAGAAGCACTTGAACCCGGCCCGTACTTTCGCAATTCGTTGGGACTGACACTGAATAGTGTCTCGTCCGGAGTGATACGTACTCTCGGTGGTGATAGCGGTACTGTCCTGAGTCGAGGCCGAATCGCAAGCTCGATGCCCCGCTGTCTGAGACGGCCTTCGATAAAGGGCTGCTGGATGTGTGTGCGAGCGCAGAGCATTCGCGTGCGGCTTGGCAAATGGCGCGCAGCACGTTGATGATGCAGGAGCTGCAGCGGATGACTCGAAAGCTGATCGAGCCAGGGCAAAGAAATGCAAGTCACAGTGTCGAGAATGGCTGCCAATCAATGACGAACATCGCTGTGTTAGGAGGATAGGGCGTCTGAAGCAAGCAACATCAGCTGAACTATGTCCGGTGGCCGGTCTGTGAAATATGGGTGACCAAGCGCCGCTGATTCATGGGATCGACGAAAGATGGAGCTGAAGGGTGAGAGAAGCTAGGCGATGTATGCGCAGCGCACCGAGCTCAACTCACACTTTCTGTGGGCTGAGAAGCGCGTGTGGCCCAGCTGCGACCATGCAGATCCATCCATCCATCCGACTTGAGCTTTGCGTTCGTTCGCCGTTCCCATCGTGCAATCACGAGCATCACGCTCCTCAATCATTCACGAACTTGTTGAGTTTGGTTTCTTGCTCTTTTCACTTTTCGTTGCGCGCGTGCCTTATCGCCGCCATTGATGCTCACGTGACCTGCGGACTTGCGCGTCTTTGAGGATCATTTTGATTCTTGATGACTGCGAGTTTACCTTCTTGCCTCAACAGATCGATTTGTGATCAAATATCGTGATTTTGGCAGGTTGTATTCGTGAAGACAACCCAATTTGTTTGGACATCGCGGCACGTGCGCCGCCGCGGTCGGATCCTCCATCACACCCTCATCGCGTCTCGTCGTGCAGAATCAATCAAGAATCTCAGACATCGCGTAAATAAGCGCGTTGCACAAGCTTGCCCGTGCTGATCGGCACCACAGCAGCCTTCTCTAAAGCCTTGATATTCCAGGTACCAGTCAAGATCCGTCAGTCATGGATGCACCCACCAGCGACTCACACCACTGTGACTGTAGAAGCGATGCTCAGCCAGACAAAGCCCTGCCTTATGCTCGTGCTCGCTCTCGCGCTCGACTGCCTTGGCAACTACACCTACGTGTGAGCGCGATGGATCGCTGCCCGCTCAGACGACCTGCAACAAATGGACGGAAGAGAGGATATACGCGCAATTCTAGGCTCTATATCGAGACGGAGATCCAGCTTATCAAGTGCCGCCCTTCGCAAGTCAGCCCCGACTTCTCTGTCAGCGCTCTGTCCTAGGCAGCTCGACAGCGCCCATGTCGGTGGCGCCCGATAACGACGTTCAAACCCGAGAAGGAGGAGTTACCTTCACTTTGTCAGCCCACACAGGCCTATCGTGACTCTCGACGCAAATCTGGAGGTAGTGGGCTTGGAAATTTGTGAGGACCGGCAATGTCTTCGGCGCCTTCGCACGAGGTCAATTCCCTCATGACCATCGAGCCTCAAGTTCAACCTCCTCCACTCAACACAGCATCCACACGCTCACCTCTCGATCTTACGGCCTCTGTATCAGTCGACACGACCAACAAAGGTTCACGCTTGCATTCCTCCGTAGCTTTACCTTCTCAGGCGACCTTACGCAACTTGTCGCAACAGGGTGCGCCCGGAGGTGCCAGCCTGATGGGGACTAGTGTAGAGTATGCCCTGGTCTTGTCAGACGACGACGAAGAGGTGAGAGCAGTGTAGACTCACGCGCTAGGTGAGCTCGACACTCACGGGACCCGATTTGGTAGGACAACGTGCCTGCTGCGAGACCCGCACCGTCCCTGCCCAGCACGCCTTCGCACGATCACTTCGCAGTTGCCAGAGCTCAAGCGGCCGCTGCCAAAGCGGCAGCACAAGCATCGCCTTCCCGTACCTGCACGAATGCAACCGCCTCAGCGTTAGGTGGTGCGACGTCAGATCACCGGACTTTAACACCTCCGACGACAGATGCATGCAATTCAGCGAGGGCGTCAGGCACTCCATCTGATGCCCGTGCCTGGCGGCAGTCCACACAATCGCTTTATCAAGGCGACATCGATGACGTCCACCTCCGACCTCCTGCTATCGCGGAAGCTGCTGAGAGTTGGAATGTGCACGAGACCGCTGAGCACCCGCCATCAACGAGGACATCAGCGCTTTTTTGCGGGCATGATGAATCGGTCTCTCCATCGGTGCGCCAAGAGGACGGTTACGACTCCTCAGACGAACGATGGAACGGAGCAGGCGAAGCGATGATCCGAGCTCTGGTGGACGAGTGCAATGAGACTTGGCAGCGACGCATGCAAGCGGTCGAGGACGAGCTCCACGCCTTGCGCGGTCAGTTAGAAGAGAAGTCGAGTCAGCAGAACACCCAAGTGAGGAACTTGCACCATAACATCAATGACCTTGAGAACTCGTCTCGTAAGTCAGCTGCTGCTGAAAAAGAAATTTCCCAGAAGGTGGAGAGAGTTTTCAAGAAGCTCGCATCTTTCCAGGCTCAAATGACAAGGTCAGACAAAGCAGGTATCAAGTCTCACAACGAGCTGACGTCGCAGATCAATAGCACACAAGGCAAGCTACATGAGTGGCAAGCATCAATTCAGGCCAAAGCCGCAAGCAGGCTATCTGAGATGGCTCGTCGACAATCCGATTCTGAGCGCAAATTTTCTGAGCTAGCTGAACAAGACGCCGAGCTTGCTCAAACGGCGGATGTCGCCCCTCGCTCGCTACAAAGCAAAGGCTCCGCGGCAATTGTCAGCCGCTCAGTCGGTGGCAGACACAGCGATCTGTCGCCTTCCAGATGGGTCTCTCCAGGTGCACTGACCGCTCAGTCGAGGAGGTGGAGGGCAAGGCAGTGGCGTTCGCTTGTCGACCATCTCCTCGAGAAGCACAACAGTCCAAACGACGGTAGAGCTGTGGACTTTCGACTTCGGACGATCGAGCACCTCAATTTTCACGCGAGTAGCGACGAGACGTTCAGGATCTGGCTCGACAAGGGCTGTCACTATGTTGGTTGCGAGCTGTGGTGCGACCAGGACGGCGTCATCAGTATCAAGCTTCGTAATCCGGATCTACCATGGCTTGAAGAGAGACATTCTCGCGGTCAAGAACTGATGGGCTGGCTTGACGCCTGCGGTTGGAAGGATCGAGCTGACGCACTCACAGGCCGCGGCTGTGAGGGAGGCGATAGATCGAGCACGTCCGTCAGTCTACTCAGCACTACGAGCAGTCACCAATCCGAGGCCGAGGGACGGCAACTGACCAGCTCATCGATCGGCCTACCTAAACGTAAGCGACGCAGAATCCGCCCCAGACTGTTACGGTCTGAGGTGGTCAGCGGAGATGCGGAGGCTAGCAGTGCTACTACGCGCATGCTTGACAAGCATTCTGCTTCGGCGCTGGCGGCATCGAGCGACATGGAGATTAGCTCGGGCAACGGTGCTCAAGACGGCAACGAGTCAAGTGGTCTGTCTGATGTGCCAACTCCGCGATCCTCGCCAGTGCCAACGCGCAATAGCCATCTCTCCAACCCGTCGCATCTGCCACCGCAGACCGATCCGGCCTCATACCGAGCTCTGTATCCTCTAGTGGACATCTTGCGGCAAGTACAGCGACCAGGAAGTGTCTTTGAGCGTGGCTATGGGTCAGGCACGTTGGCTAAGGAGCTTAGAGCAAGGATGGACTGGTGTATGAGCAAGTAATGAAAGCAACAACCCATTACTCTCCCTTGAAAGACTGGATCAAGACAATCAACTCGAGGGTAAAGGTGGAATGGGTCAAGGAGACTTCGCGGGTTCGTCTTGAAGATTTAATTAGCCCCTTCTTTTCAGAAAAGGAGAACGCAGCATACTTTGACTACGTGGAAAGTCTTCCTCTTTGGACGCGACAAACTCGCCCACTGTCGCGAGTCACAGCACGAAGGATTGCGGCGGCGGCGCAGTCGTCAGGGACAACAGAAGGCAGCTGACAGGCTCCTGTCTGGCTTTGTTATCTCGTCAATCCCTGTAATCTTAGACTCAGATACCATGTTCGTTTGCGTTGCGCGGAGTTGAGATCCAGACATGACCACAACACGCGGTCCTTGACCCAATGCGTGCCTATGTTTGCAAGCGTCTCGTTGTTTCCTCTTGAGCGTGTGTACCTGAAACGGACACCGTTCTAGACTCTGCGCATGTCACCTCCTCCCCGCCCTCTGGCCGCACTACAGCAGTCGTGGCACGGGCGGCCCGAGCGCATCAAGGCGAGCGACCACGACGTCTCATATAGTCGTGTTGAGCTAGGCAATTCTGCAGACTCCCACAGCGCGACCGCTGATCTTTTTAATTATCTTTCGCAAAGTTGAAGACAGCGATGTACTGCTCGTCATTCGTGCCTCAGCAGGTTCGCAGGCCGTGTGACGGCGCGCGCCGTGTAGGTATTTGCGTACCGCGTACCGGCATGCTGGTGCGGTGGCAGCACCGCAAACGTGCAATCGCAGGCGCGGCCACAGCAAGGCTCCCTCTCGTCAAAGAATTTTCACGATTCGTGCTTCCCCCGATCCTGATTCACCATTCACATTCAGGTCTTACTGGTCAGCTTTCTGAGCCAACGCTCACGAATGTTGCATGCCGGACGAAAGATTGCCAGCATCATCTGCATCGGAAGCTCATCTTGCAGCCGACGACATGATCTTTGGAGGCTCCTTGCTCATTGCGCGAATGGAGGAGATCGGCCTTTATGAGATGTGACTTGAGCCAGCCTTTTGGGGAGCTTTGGGTGGGCGAAGGCTCGCCTAGAACACCCTTACGAGCCTATGCTTTCTGGATTAAAGAATCTACATCAGCCACAGAATGTCGCGATCTCCCCCTCTTCCTTCTTTCCGCCCAGCAGCACCTCGCGCATCTCCTAACCACTGGGCGAGCCAGCACGACCTTGCTCCTGCGAGATTCCAGCCAAGAGCGCCTGCGCACGCTGCTTCTGCCACAGCTGGTGAGCTTTTAGCAGCCGGTAACAAGACTTCACAAACCACACAACGTGGGGGACACAGCTTCGAGCAGCCTCTTGTCCTTTCATCCGACGGACACGAAGCCGAGCAGCAACCGCCATTCGCAGGGCATTATCTTCCAAATGTCATAGGTCCGAGCCTCAGTTCCTCTAGCGAGAACGTTGCACGACATACCAATGCGCCATTCTCGGTCAATGAAACGGATAGTGGACTACTTCAGCCTCCAGGTGGGACGGGCCGAGGACCATCTGCGACCTCCGCACAGCCCGGTTACGTAGGGCCGTACGCACACAGACCCTATCTCAATGGCAATGGGGCACTCGAGCATCGGACGAGCGGGCAACAGAGCTGGCCGCCAGGTATTCCGCTACGGCCAGACATCGGACCCAGAGGGCATGAGCTCCCGGCACACTCGCCCTCGAATGGCGTGCCGCGAGCAAGTAAAGGTCTACATAGAGGGCCTAACAGGTCCTCCTTCCGCGAGCAGTCTGGGCCCAACGCAGGTCCGGTGAGTGCAGGTGTGGACGCTAGTCGAACACTTGAGCGGCCAAAGCTGAGAACGCAAGCCGGCCGATTCCTCTGTTAGCAGGAGGAACGACTGTCCAGGGACCCCATGTCACTTGACTTGAGAGCGATCATCGCAGAGCGTGAGAGCCTTGCTGAACATCTAGAGTACAATGGCCAGGAGCTGGAAGCGCAGCGCACAAAGACAGAGGCCCTTCAGAGAGAATTCGCTATCGAAATCGAGCAGCGGGACCTACTCGAGGAGCGGCTTGGCACGATGGAGTCGGTAGCACTGGCATTGCAGGCACGAGTGAGAGTACTCGAGACCGGCAAGAGACACATGGAGGCAGACCTTCACAGGCTGAATGAAGAGCAGCTGGTCGTGACGGCAAGGACGGGCCAACTTCACGAGCGCTGTGTCGGCGCTGAGGTAGCGCTTGCGAGGGCCCGGAGTCAAGGTGCAAACTCAGCAAAGAGTTTGGCAGCTGTACCAACGAACCAGGGTAATCACGCAAGACTTGATCGTTCCGACGAGTATGTTTTTAGCGTAGCGCTCAAACGCAAATTGACTCAGCTCGCGGAGGATCGCCAGCGCTGCGCGCCCGCATTCAACGGGCATTTCACAGGAAGCTGGGACGTCGAATCAGCCGACGAAAGCACCGTCGATGCCACGAGTCTTGAAGATGAGCGGGCGCTCGATCCGCAACAACCGCCATCAAAGAAAGCTCGTGCTTCAAGCGCCCTCAGTCAGCTGGCCGAGACTGTGAAGAAAAGCGACTCGAACGAAGATTCATCGGCAGCGCAGCTCGAAAAGACGACAGATACTCAGAGTATACGCACTGTCGAACATGATGCGGCGATGTCGTCATCCATGCACTCGGCTGCCGAAGTAACCGAGATCCCCTCATTGCCTGCCGCGGTCCAACGTGCGCAATTCGTACATGAGCCCATCGAAGAAGTCTCGGGCTCCTCAGTCCTGTCGACTCCACCCGGAACGCCAACGACATCGAGGACTGCGGCACCCTCTTCCTTGTACGAGGCATCAGAGGCTGCGCCGAGCCCCTCGGAGCAAGCAACTTTCGTCTCTGAGCTTTCCATACCATCGGATGCCTCCACTGCCTCCTACTCCCCAAGCCAGTCCGGTGCAATGTCAGAAAGCTTGACTGTGGCGTCATCACGACCAGCTGGTCATGTCAGCGCACCTCGGCTCACTTCGTCGCGATCCCCGCGAAAATCCACAGCTCTCTCTCCACGCCGCATCGCTCTCACGTCTGAAGCTCGGGGTAGGACAAATAGCGGGTCAAGCACAGCGCAAACTTCTTCTTCTGCGAGCAGAGAGTCAGCTGCAGTCTTGACTGCGCAGTCGCCTACAACACCTTTCGAGATTATCTCGCCAGATTGGCTACACTGGCCAACACACTGGGACATCAGGGGCGACTTTGCGGATCGGCCACGGAATGTCTACGGCAGCCAGAAGTACTCCCAGCTTGTCGAGTTTTTGAGACGCAAGCCCTCCGACAGCACAGGGCGGGCCAGTACTCTATTTGCTTTGAAGAGCAAAGAGCTGCATAAGCCTCATCAGCAAGATTTCAAAGCTTGGCTGCGTGGAGCGGTTAGTTTTGTCGCTTTTCAAGTGTGGGAAGACGATGACGACGTGTTGCGCATTCAACTCCTCAATCCTAGCATGCCGTGGCGCAAATTTCGGAATTTGAACGGACCCAAGCTGTCGAAGTGGATTGCAAATCGTGAAGCCGAGGCTCGACAAGCGGAGGCGGCCGAAGCAGACGGGTCAACGGGTCGTGGAGGAGGCAGTGACACCCCAAGCCTATCGGAAGCTTCCACCTCGCAGATTTCAGCCGCGGAGGGCGAAGAAGGCAACGAGGCAACCTCTGCGGACAAGCCCTCTTTGAGGCGAATCAAGCTCATTAAGGTACGGTTCTCACGAAAAGACTCGTCAGCCTCACAAACCCAAGCAAATTCTAGCGCCCCTGTTCATGGCGATAGCATCACGCCTACCGCAGTGCCTGCTTCATCAGCCAAGGAGAGCTTTGCGAGGGTTCCATCCGAGCCTTTCCACAACGCGGCGACGCAGCCAGTCATCGCACCTGAGCCTGTTGAAGGTCACGCAATGGGTTCGGTAGCATCGCCAGCCGAGCAATCTATCCCAGGCTCGCAAACTCAGGCCGATTCTCAGCACACATCGGACATGGACGTCGATGTCGAAGAGCGTCTAGAGAACGACAACCGATCCTCGCCAATGCCAGAAGTCGCGGCTGTGCGCACCGCGACTGCTGAGCATCCAGTGAAGCAAGGCGAACCGACCCGAGTGGCGCAAATCGAGTCCAGACCATTAAGCTTCGGTGATCTGACTGCTGATGTCGATCCTCATTCTATCAGAGCTCTGTATCCTCTCGCAGACATCGTGAGAGAAGCACAGTACGCCCACGAAGGATCAACACCTTTTCCTGGCATCGGCGTCGACAGTCTTCGCAAGGAGCTGCAACAAAGAATGGGCCCCATCTATTCGGTGTGTGGCTTGCAGGTGCAAGACTTTCAGAGATGGGTGCAGCGGGTGGCATCCCAGCACTTGCTCTTAGAATGGTTGGATCCTGTCCCAAACTCTGACAATGAAGCCTCTGTGAGATTGACAGACAAGGAAGAGCCCTTTCGCATCGAAGTCGAGAACGATGCGTACTTCGAATACATACAAGCCTGGCATGATGCTGAAGGTGAACCTGGCACAGCTTTCGCCTCCAACATCTGAAACATCCGCGTGTCGCCTCTGCTACGACCAAGAAGCCCTCGTCCCATCAGGCTCAGCTTCGGTCGAGTGTCTTGTTGCGCCGCCAGATCTTAGAAAAGCCCCCCGCAGAGGCTGGCTATTCCCTTCACCTGCCACGACCCGTGTTGCATTTTCACGTAATCCTCGTCTGTTGGCCTTACGCGCTGAACTCCTTCTCCACTTACTGTACGACCATCGCGCAACATGTCATAACGCTCTCCTTGCATCGATTAACGTCAATACGCCGAGGCACCCGTCTGCGTAGTCCGAGCGACTTGCATCCAAGACGTGGTCAGGGGGTAAGTGTCACGTGCATGCGTCGAGACGGGCCTCGAGACGGCAAAAGCCGGGAGCGCCGCAAACGTAGGGAGCTCGGATGCTTTTGAAGGATGTGCATGTCGAAGAAGAAGGTTTGCTGACGGAGCGTAAGACCGGAACACGGGTCGCTCTCACCAACAGCATCGGATTGGGCCTCTGACGCGTCGTCGTAGCCTCTGTGGCCAACACACCGCAGATAGAGCGGGGTGGAATCGACGCCTCCATGAAGAAGCACACCTCGATTACGCTTCCGGGCTGCGTGAAAGCATTCAGGATCGACGATTTGCTCGTCCTTCGCCCTGATAATTTGCGCCATCAGCCTGCTCATAGCAAAACCCCAAAGCTGCTCGACATCCTCTTCTGCAAATGCTTGGCACCGCCGAGAAGCTCGATGCCCTTCAAGCTTCTGCTTCTGTTGTAGAAAGCCGCCGCAGGCGGAGCAGTAACGGAAGGGCAGATCCGTCTTTCAGCACGTCGCTTGCGCAGCCTGACCTGTAGACACGCCAAGAACGGGTGGATTTGATTCAGGGTCTTTCAACGTAGCTGACACTTGGCATCTGTACGCTCGATGGGACCTTCACAACCCTGATTCGCAAGTCCGGGCTCGCTAATTCCGGGTCAATTGAGACGTTCTCACGGGCATCGATCAGCGCGATCCTTCGTGTAGAGAGTTGATGCGTAGTCTCTGAGGCCGGACTCGTTTTTATTCGTTTTTGTTTTCCTATGCGAAGAGGGCTGATGGCTTGCCCACCTCGTGCTGCGAGCATCAGCAGCAGCAGCAGCGCTGGTTGTTCGGAGAAGCAAATCTCGGTTGCGGGGAAACTGTAATTGCAGAAAGTAAAACCGCGCTAGCGCGAGCAGGCCGTTGGCCTCATTCGCTCTGAATCCACCAGTGTGGCGGGCCGAAGCTGTCAGGCTGTGATCCAGGTCGGATACCCATCAGAATGATCTGCCGTCAGTCGACTGAGGAGTCCCGCTGAAATCAGGGAACATCCACGGATTCCGTGGAACTCTCGAGTGATTCGACCCATCCAAATTTGAGGTGGGTCAGCAGTGCAGCGGAACTCTTAACCGAGAGGCGGCGATCTTCTTCTCCAGCTGCTGCAGGTGGCCGCTTAGCGCTGGTCAAGTAATTTGAAAGCGCTTCGGGACGCAAGCTTGGGCGAGTTTCGGTCTTATATCAGGCAGAGACGGAGCTGGCCGATGCTCGTCCAAACGCAAAGGACGGCTTGGCAGCAAGAGCAAGGCCAAGGGAGTCCTGCCTGCTCTGCATCAGTATATGCAGTACTGCAGCTGGACCTGCTTGGTGAACCATGCGTATGCAGCATCACCCATATTTCTCTTGGGTCATCTGATGCCTGCCCTGATCGCCGAACCCCGCTCTTGCATGTCCACTCAGACTCTTGACTATGCATGGCTTTCGTGAAAGCCTGCGGGGCTGCAGGCTACCCCGCTGCTCAGACGGCAGCTGGAGCCTAGTCTCTGCATCCCCCCACAGCGAGCACATGACGCAACGGCCACAACTGAGCCAAGGAGGCGCTTTTCTCAAGTGATGCATGAGGGAGTATTTCGCGCGCAGTCATGCTTTGTGTCCGACATGCATATCGCCGCGGCAACTTGTCACTGTGACTTACACTGGGACTCACATTGTCTTGCCACTCACGGTTGCGCCGAATCATGGAGAGACTCTTCCGCTCGACGAGAAGCAAGCCGTTTCAAGAACGAGCTGGCATGCTACGGACTCTGCGCTCCAGTCACAAAAGTAGTCACAGTAGAGTAGCCACGAGTAGTAGAAGTGGTAGAAGTGGTAGTACGTGATTCTGCGTCTGAGGGGCCAAAAGTAAGCGCTCGCCTTCTTTTTGCGGAGATCAAGGGCTTGAGACCGGGATGCATGCTTGATGTCCAGTCTGCATGCATTCAGCAGCAAGAAGACGGACAAGCAGTCCTCCCTCCGCCTGTCTCACTTGTGGCTTAGAAGCCGAGCTGACATTCACAATGAGGATTGCGGGACACAGCGTCGTTGGTCCGTCACACTCGACGAATATTCCACACCTACGTGTCTTTCGTCCCAACTCTTCGTCAGTTTTCTGTGCTCTCGACACCTCTTCTCTTCGACGGTGACTACCATCATTGCGAGCCTCGCTTACATTCTCTTCATACCCTGCTGACTACAACCTTAGGTCAGTTCCTCTTTGCATGTGCAACGATCCGACACACCCTCCAGACTGGACGTTATCGACGATTTCCTAAATCTCGTTCGCGCGTCTCTCTGAGGTGCGCTGAGCGCAGAACTTCGACTCATACTCTCCTTTGTTCTCCATCCGACCGCACGGAAGGTGAGTGTGATCATCTGGATTGCGACGAGAAGGTCTGCTATCAAAATTGGCGCGATCCACAAGGTTTCCCAAGAACGAAGAGGTGGATCTGCGAGCATCGGGTAAGCTCCTACGGTGCACGCCAAGCACCACATGGATGCGCGTCCCATCAGGGGTCTTTGCTACCCTTTGCTTGGGGTGCTCTCTACAGCCGCACGCATGGGCCTGCCAGAGTCTTTGCGAAGCGCCATGATCGCGAGCTATGATCGAGATAGACAGTCAAGGTTGCAGCCGTTCGAGACACTTTGGACCCTCTCGATACTCTTCATCTCCGTGCGACCATCGAGGGCCCATGCGCGCGCGCTGAGCTGCTCAAAATTTGCGGGGGGCTGCTGTCTCTCCCCGTGGGCCGTATGCATGTCAGCATCAAAGTGGCACTGGCTATTGGTGCCACGAAAGGACGAGCAGGGTTGGTGAGAAAAGCCATACGTCCAAGAAAAGAATAGCTGTGCCTGGCTTATCACCACCGTGTCACTGTGCGGAGGGCCGCCTTGATTTTCGAACTCACGACCGGAGCGGATATCGCAGAGCGGGTGTAGACCGCGTCATACCGAGGCCTTTGTGTCGTCGCATCGAGGGCAGATGTTCCAGACAGACGCAAGACGGGGCGGCACGGCACGATTGGGCCCTGCACATATTCGCAGTCAAAGTCAAAAGGCTCTCCAGATGAGCTGCAGAGCCATTGCGCATTTTCGCGCTAGGAGACCGCCTGACACCAGCTGCGTTTGAAAACCGCATCAGCAAGGACATGCATGTACTGCACGCGGGGGGCGGCGGGGTGCACATGCGCGGTCGAAGAGCCTCGCGACGGCTTGCACACTCACGAGGCTTGGTTGTGAATTTGACTGCTCCGAAGCTCGAGACTCGAAGTTTCGTACTCACGACTCGACTCGCAGACCCGAAATCGAAGCAGCTGCGAGCGATGCTGACACTCACTCACATTCCCACACGCACCCTTTCATCCTCCTTCACTCGATTGCTCCTCCGCCCCGAAACGTGCCGTCTGTTTGCTGCACATTTTGCCTATGCGGTAACCATCGCCCCTGGTCGCCACTATGGCAGTCTCTGCGCGCTACGGCAACGAGCGGTGGAGTCGTTCGCGTTCCTTGATCTCGCCCGAGGGCGCCAACGACACCCAAGACCCATCATCCGTCAGCGCAGGCTACAACTTCCCTCAGTCCCGCATCAGACCTCCCGTTCCGCTCGACATCACCAACGGCGACCCACCATCGGCAAAGGCTCCTGACATGCCTTCAGTCGTATCAAACGTCCTGGCTCGACGGTCTAGCGGTAGCAGTAGCAGTGGCGGCATTGGCACATTCAAGAACAGTTCTGGCCTCGGGAGCGGAAGCACGAATGCACACCATAACGGGGAAGAGACGAGCGATGAGAGACGCATGCGTCTGAATCAACTTGCGTACTCCCGCCCACCAGACAGCAACGGTGGCACCGTCCGTCGCATCAAACCTCCCTCAGCCTCAGCTTACGACACGTCCAAATCCGCGCCGTCCAATCAGAGGGTTGAGCGATCACGTGAGTCTGGAGGAGGTCGTGAACACTCCAGCAATGGTCACTGGTCACACAGCAATGGCCACTCCGAGGGGGACGGAGATCTCGACATGTTCGGCGGCCGCATATCTTCCAACGGCTACAGGCATGGGGAGGATGATCACCTCGGCCATGAAACGCAAGATTATGGAACGGATGAGGAGGCTGCTGAGGTTCAGGAATACGACGACGCAGATGAAGACGAGCGTTGGGAACATCACGAAGAGCCGAATGATGACCCCGACTTCGAACGCGACGGCAGCGCAGGTGGCCACACGGGCGGCAGCAGCAGTCAGCACGCAAAGACGCTCGCCGACATTGAAGAAGAGCCAGAAACACCATCTTCTTTACGTGGTCGCGACAGCATCGCTCAAAGAAGAAGCAGCACTCAAATGTCGGGTGCCGCATCGTCGGTCGATGAAACCGATATTTACGGTGGCATCGACGACCATCAGGTGGATCGACCTGAACCAATCCCGGAGCATCCGCTTGATCGCGAGGCTGATGAAGACGTTCAAAGTGAATCTGGCTGGGAGACTTGGGACGGCAATTCATCTTCAGCACATGGTGCTTTCGAAGACGACGCCACCGGCGCCGCAGCTCCAGCCAGCGTGAACGCTACGTTGGCGGGCGATCAGACAGATGAAGAAGGCTGGGAGACCGACGAACACGACGGCGAGCGGTCCCAAGCAGCTGTAGCGAAAGCTGTCAAGGATGGCGCCACACTGGCCGCTGCTCGTC